CGAAAACCACTTTGCTACCACTGCATGAAGCCGACCATGTCTACGAAAGCAGCCCGTACCAATGAATTGGTCTGCGAGGGTTCGTGCCAAACAACCCTCGATTACGTCTCGAGGAGCGACCACGGGAGATTAAGGATTACCTTCGGCGAGCTTTGTCCCTGATGCCTAAGGTCCTGAATCGAAGATTCTGAATCCCTGATTACCCCGAAGCTCCTCATGTCCATCACCTCAACAAGAGGTAAGCACGACAAAGCAGGTGAACGGCGATGCAGTGACAGTGGATTTGGTGTCGGTTGTCGTCCAAGGACAATACCTAAACATTTGCTGACACCAATTTTCTGTGTCCACTCCACGAAGCACACAATTTCCAACTTTGAGGGAGAATGCCCCTGAGTGACTTGAAGGAATAGAATGGTTGGTTGCTCTCAAAAGTGAACTGCAAGCATCACCAGACTTGGATAGCAAACAAAAATTGTTGCCAGCTATCAAGTCAACGGTACAGCAAAAGGCACAGCCACGTAAGCAATACATGCCCGAGCTTGCTGCATTGATGCCGAAAACTACCAGGAAAATTTTCGGATTAGAAGCCAGCCCTGCAGCTTCAGTGCATCAGACGTCAGTGGCCGCACATGACGTCTGATTACAAGACAGCATCAGTCGGTCAAAGTTGCCCCTCGACCAAACTGAAAACCGACGTGCCAGGAGCGTCATCCGACAACAAGGTCCACAGGTACTACGACTAAACGCCTGACACGAGACTGTCGCAGAAAGAACTCGTTATGGAACCATTTCCTAAGAATCAATAATTATGTAATCAAGTGAAAATAAATATATTTGATACACTAACCAGATAAACATATTTCCGCTTGCCTTCATGCCTTGAGAGTCTACACACCGAGAATTGTGTCCACTGCACGCTCTGGACCTTACGAGGACACTCGCATCTCTGACCCTTCAATATTAATTAAGGGGTCATACCAGACTGGCAGACTTCTTGCAAGGGGCTGCACTAGTTCAACCTTTCCTGAACATGTGGTGCATCCGAAAACCAACTCCAGTGATGTGAAAATGTTATTTATTAATTTATTCCTTCCAGGGGCCTTCGTAGGCATTGCAGAGAGGATACTTAAAACTACACACATGATAATAGCATTAAAGCACACTGCTGTAACTTGTTAATTGGAAAAACAAACACACCATTGAGCATATAGTTTAATAGTATGTGTTGATGCATTGTTATATAGCATGACACTTCCTATATGTATGACACAATAGACCCTTTGCAGAACCTTATCAAGCAACACAACTGTCACCATTTTTTTCGGCGTAAAGCACACGAATGGGCCCCAGTTCACGTCAAACGCTAATGCAGCATTCGAGTCCAATAGGTGCTGAGCCGAATTCACAGGGATGGCGGACATAACATTCTTGTCGAACAAATGCCCAAAGTCTAAAAGCCTGGGGTAATTACAGTAGTAGCTACTGTAATTTGTTTCATCAGAATTTGGCAGACGGCAAAGGCTACGGTCTCGGTGAGTCAATACACACATTGGAGAGAGGCACATGACAACATATCACCAGAGTGCTCGTCTGCACAGATTTCTCGCACACCTTCGCTCCGTCTCTCTGATTGGCTCGAGGGGGCTGTGGCGGTTGGCCTTTTCCAAGTTATGGTGATGCGAAGTATAGACAGCCCACACTTTTAAAAAGAGTCTATTGAAGAGACCGAAAGGAATGGAAGTCAACATTTTTCAACAAGACTGCTCTCCAGGCAAGGGATGAACACAAATGTGAATCATCTTATCCAGGTAATTAGAACAACTAAATAATTGACCGACTAATACAATGTACTCTTGATGGAAAAGAGTATAGCTGCAATAAATCCTACAAAACAGAAAAAATGCGCAGTTAACCTATGCATGCACCAAAACAGTTGTTCTTATAGCAAGTCGAATAGCTTTGAAGCAGGTGCCTGCAACGATTTATTCTTCCCCGTACTCAATAAAACGCCATCCTCATAGCTGAAAATAAAGGTGCACTTCGCACTCACACACACAAAAAAAAAAAAATAAAAGGAAGAAAAGCGATCGAATGTAGAATCGTGGATTAGCACAAAAGAATCGCAGGAGCTTCCTCGCTAAAAGTTGCTATGGTTGTTCGGTGACGGAGGGCTGAAACAACTTCCCTTAGGCCCTAACGCGACGTATACATTTCGCGTAGATTCTCAGATATTTTAACGTTCAAACAAAGCTAAGAGAATGCGAAAATTTCATGTTAAAAGCACTCAAAGTTCTATCGGTCCTCGGACACATCCCGGAATCCGAGCACCGGTACGGCGATGCAGAGCTGATGCTGTCTCACAGGCGTTAATATCCAGATGATCCAGAGCGATCTTGCGCAAAAAACGGTATAAAGTCTCATTCCCTCATATTTTCACATTATACCTGCGTCAGCGAGCACAAAGAAGCCCGAAGTCGTCGGAAAGCAGCTGCACATTACGGCTACCACGCACCGAACAAACTCGCATCCGCCAGCTCTGGGCGCTGCCATCTTACCTGTGACGTCACGGCTCTTGGGCGGTCACGTGACGAGTGGTCACATTTGCGTAAAATATGGCGGCAACCGGGGGGGTGCCACTTCCGAACTTCCGGTTTATCACTCTAAGCCCCTCTACCTCGTTGGCACTGACACACTGTGATATATAAAATGTCTCCGTTATCTCCCTCGTACTTTTGTTGTTGCGTCGCATCATTATTGTCGTCTCTTCAAACTTAGGGGCGCACCCACATCTGTCTCAATGAATCGCCAAATGACCGGCAGGGGACGATCTCACAGATAATGCATGCTCCCTTAGTCTATCGTAGATGCATCTACCAGGCTGTCCGATATACTGCTTATCACACGATAGCGGTTTTCTATACACAATTCCCACTTCGCACGCTACGAACTGCTTTTTTATGCTTCTTTTCGCATCGCGCTGCGTGTGCTGCTCCCCTATCAATTCTACCACACGACTTTTCCAGTTCCTTGAGAGCGGAGAAAAGAACCGGGACTTCATGTCTCTCCGCCACCTTCTTAATCCTGTGGCTGACCTTGTGTACGTAGGGCACCACTACTGGTCTCACTCTCGGCTTGCCCTTCTCTGGGACCACACCAAACTCCCGAAGCCTTGGCAGCAGTGATTCCCCCACTCCTGTAAGGAGTATTGGTGGATAGCCCCCCTTCTTCAGCCTGTTCGCCTGGGATGTAAAATCCTCCACCATCCCGTGTGGACAAGACTTCGCCAAGGATGTGCGGAGACAGGTAAAAGCTATACCGATTTAACCACCTTAGAATGGTTGGAACTCTAAGGGAGCAGACACGTCTTTGATCAGCAATCGCATGTATGCTGGTGTTACGCTCCCAGATCAAAGAAGTGTCTCCTCCCTTACAGTTCCAACTATTCTGAGGTGGTTAAAAGAGGTATAGTTTTTACCTGTCTCCACGCATCCAATGGCGCCTCCTGATTTGTCGACTATACTTCCCAATGAATCGCCAAACTCTCTATATGTACGGCTCTGGCTACGCGTAATTACATTTGTTATAGTACATATAAAAGAAAATGTAACCCACATTTGTTGCGAAAACAAATCTTCGAAATTTATACGGGAGCACTCGTTGGCGACTGTCGCCCGTCAAAACTTCCGTTTATAGGGCTAACTCTGCAAGCGAGGATGGGTAGATGGATGATATTGGCAATGCCCTTTGTAACGGGCGGTAGCTTGCGCCACCTAGCCTGAAAGGGAGCACACACGCTGCTCACATCGACCTATTCACATTCACTGCCCCGTCCGAATGCCGCTCCATGAGTGTCCCGCTATCACCGACCACACAAGCTCGCGGCGAACTGCAAGGGGCGCTTCTCTAGCTATCATGATCATCGTTTTTGACGTCACGGGTAGAACAGACAGGGACAGACCGCGCAGATCTTGGATCCCTCGGCTCGTCAGCTCGCTTCATGCCCTGTTTGGATAACGCGCGGCGAAGCCTGTTTCACGCGTTGCGTTTATTTGGTGAAGTGATATTTGTAGTAGGACATTTTACCAAAGCTTGAAACAGTGACACGCGTAGTCGTGAGAATAAACACTTTTGACGCTGAGGTGTCGAAGCTCTGGGATGGTGGTGTGCTGTTTGCTAATGAAAGTAGAATATCCAACGCTTTGCCCCACTATGCATCTACCACGGCAAATGGGGTGTATTTTTTATTATGATTCGGACAAAATAAATCTGACAAAGGAATGTGTCATCAAATTAAAAATAGGAAATTGAAATACGAGAACCTCTCACGTGTGTAGTAAACATTTCAGTGAAAGCGACTCCGTGTTTCCTGTTGGCTCCAAAGCGTTGTATGAGTGCTGGTATCTTATTAGCTTCAAGTTGATTCCTTTTTGAATTTTGTAACCGCAGAGCGAAGCGGAGTCTGGCTTCCGGAGTCGTTTCAACTAAATCGCTGATTACTCACCCGGTCGACCCGAAAAGTGCGAGGCCCCCTCGCGATCGAGGCCTGTTAAATCCAGTAAGTCGGTGTTACTTCAGAGCCCTCCTTTATATCCTTATTTCTCCCTCATTGCTCTATTTCATGCATTATAGTATACTTTGAAGACAAAGATCGTTGTAATTTTTGTTTTGCTACACGGAAGTCGTCGTTTCACTATCGTTTTTGACCACTCGGGAAAGTTAGTTTGTGTCATAGGAATGGTAGTGATGGATGCATCTGAAATATGCTTGGCGATTTGCTGCCGATGCGGAGATCGCCTAGAAATAAGAAGTCTAAAACAGAGACTCGCTTGAAAACTGCACAGTTAGCTTTATCAGACTTCCAAAGTACGGTACCGCGTGAGATCTGCGCAGTAGCATGAGCTTGAATTCTAAAGCGATAGATAGTTGTCGCTACCGTAAGGATTTATATTGGGTTCACAACTTAATGAGAGAAAAGTGACCAAGATTGCAAAGAAGAGCGATAAGGTTGTAAGGTATTTTCTTTATTCTGAGATTACAGGATCGTAGCGTTCCTGGACGTATCTCCATCGTCGTCATTGAAGTGCATGTAGCCTTGACGCCGCAGTCGATTCCAATTCATGACCTGGGATTGCCTTTAAAAGTGGAAACAGAATGTAACGGTCGAAATTATTTACAACCAAACCAAGCTATAACCGCATTAAAAAAAAAAAAAAGAAACTGTGAGTGCGTAAGTGCAGTCATCTTAAAAATAGTGTATATATTTTTCTATGTCTCGTAGGAGTCACTTATCCGCAAATTAAACTTTCTTCGTAGCTGCTGCTGCCAGCCAAGTGCAAGAGAAAAAGGGAGGAAGAAGCAAAACAAGAGAAAATGACGTCATCGGATCTGTCCAGTGGCCGTTGCTCGTCTTTCTGTAGGCTCCAACGTTACTAGATTGCCTCAGCTGGGGAACTCACGCGGAGGCGGTACCCCCCCCCCCCCCCCCCCTCCCCCTTTACACACTTCAGTCCGCCTCCCGTCCTTTGAAGCCCCATCTTGATTTCATTTCGAAACGGTGTGTTCGGTAGAGTACAGTGGAGCGCCATCTAGACGCTGTGCTTCGAAATGTACGCATTCCATAGAACACACTGTAGTTACCATAGCAGCCACCCGGAGCGTCGAACGACATGAGACGGGAAGTAATGAGAGAGGGGGAAGGGGGAGGGGGCACTGCATGCTCTTGCAAGAAGCGTCTATGGGCAGTTCCGTAACTGAGCTAATCTAATAACGTTGGTAGGTTCGGAGATGCTGCGACGATGACGTCACGATGCCTTTCATAGATAAGACGCGGTAGACAGGTTCGCCGCATTACCAGCGGCAATTGACCTTTTCCTAGTAAGCGTCTGCACGTCCGTACACCCTTGGGGTTGCTTCCTTCTGTCAATATTTTCAAAGGGCACCGTCCAGCACGACCAACATTATCATCACCTACCTTCGCGCGTGCTTTTTCTTTTTCGACGATTTATTTATTGAGTATCGGTAGTATCGGGAATAAAAAGCATTGGAAACTGATACAGTGGCACCGTGTCAATGTCTTCTGACAGGCACAGGTATGTGGGTGTGGCTGCCCTTCATCGGTAGTTCGCAGACAAACTCACAGAGTCCTTACAACTCCTTACTCAAAAACAAACTCCTTACTCAAAAAAGGTACATTGCTGCCAGTTTTTCGATCTAAAAGTTAATTACGCTACTTACTGTCCATTTTTCCTGCAATTATCTAATTCAGGAAATAAGCTATGGTAGTCCGCTGCTAACTCAGTTCTTTTTTATTATTTTTATGTGCTTCAGCTTTCCTTTCGTATTATCTCTAGCATTTCCATTAGGCATGCAACAACAACAACACCTGTCCCCGTTCTAGATTCCCAGGCTATAAAAAGTAGAGTGAAAGCCGACGTCCCTTAGGATGCACCTTATAAACTCAATGCAGTTCCAGTTCCATTATATGTAACGAGTATGATATGCAAAACCACGTGGATTCTTTCTCTGTACCATGGTGCTTAGAAGCTTTCGCAGTAAAAACAACAACACGCAGTGAAGTTACTAGAGACAAACCCCTAAAATCAGTAAATGTAATTTCTATTGTCGTGTTGAAAATCACAATGACAACATGGTAACTTTCGGCTCCTTATAACCCATTAATACCTTTGATAGCTCCACTCGTTCAAGTACGTTTATTTATCTCTGGAAATACTTTTTTTTTATCTACAATACTGAATGCCCTTTCGGGATGTCTCAGGACTCAGGGGTCTGTTTTTTTATTATCATTATTAAAAAAACTTGGAGTTAGTATTTTCCGGCTATATCTCAGGCACGAGGTGCCGAAAGACCTGTCTACGCAACAGAAACCATACATTTACTCAGCAGTGCTTTGCCAAAATTATCTCACCAAGGTTTCCTGTAAACTAAGAGCTGCTGCTCGAACTAATTTAAAGTGGTCAGTGTTTTCAAAGTGTCAATTTTCCAAAGTTCAGTCCGACATTCGTTGTACTTACGCTGGCAAGATCCATTTTGGCAAACCATATCGTAGTAGCAATCGGGGCTGATTTTGCAAGGTCTCCCTGGACAGTGATGTAGAAATCAATGAATTAAAATATCACGGGAGGTTATCCTATGATTGATTAAGTCACAGCGTGCTCTTCTGCACCGTTTGCAGTATTCGGAATAACTTGTGAACTAAGTGAAGGGGTCGATTTCGGCACGCTAATTTGCGGGTTCCCCCCACCTCTCTATTCCCCCGTAAACCAGGTGATATGACGTACATGAAAACGTGCTCTGGCAACCTGGAACGTCAGATTCCACTTAAAGACTGCAAAATAGGCAACAGCCTTCACACCAGTCCGGGCTTGGCACAGGCGGGATGTCCACTTACCCTTATTCTTGCTGCAGGTGAATTACTTATCGCACTCTAAAGTCCGACAATTGAAAGTTCTATAGAACTTTCAATTGTCGGACTTTAGAGTGCGATAAGTAAAAAAAAAAAAAAGTTTTCAGGACAAATTAGGCATGGCACCTCAAACATGCAGTATACTCTTTGAGGTGCCATGCCTAATTTGTCCTGAAAACTTTTTTTTTTCCTAGAATCTACATTAGTCACTTTTTTGTCCGCGGGAGATATTGAAATAAATTTCACAGCAGCTAATTCGGGCAGTGCATCTGGAATGGACAACGAAGTCATCGCCTTTCCAACTAGATTAGAGGCCTGTCAGAATAAGCATCTGCAGGTCACTCACCAAATTCGACTAAAACAAAAGAAAGCTGATGATACGCTCGCCGGGATTAACACAATGACAGCTAACAGAGAACAAGAACTTACGATGGTCAATGAGCTAAAAATGACGTGAACCAAATTAAAGTCGCGGCTTGTCAAAATTCTAAGCTCACCAACCGAATTTCAAAAACTCAAAATGACCGAGCAGACTGAAAAAAAAAAATAATAATAATAATAATCTGCTCTTTTTTAGGGGAGGAGCTCCTTGGGGTCTAGCCTTGTCCGTCCGTCCGTCTGTCCGGACGGCGTCCGTGCTCACATAAAAATAAAAAAAAATGTTTGCGTGCTAATTCGGCTTGCGGCGAAGATAACAGGTCCACAACTTTTTTTTTTTTTAATATGACAAATGATAACATATCTATTCCCTTGATCCGCCTCTTTCAAGCATCACTTTCTTTATCTCAATTACCTCACGATTGAAAATTTTCAAAAGACATCCCATGTGTAAATCTGGGGACTACAGAAAAAAAAAATCGCAAAAATTAGACGAAGGACGAGTGAGACGAATGCACACGACAAGCGCCGAAGGATTATTTAAAAAAAAAACTACATTTTTGTTTCAAGAATATACCTTAAGGTAGCTTACTCCATTCCTCAATAGTCCGATTAAAGAGGAGCCTAAACGAAACACGAACTAATTCAGAATAACTACTATTGAGATAACACGAACTGTGCTCGTTTGGTTAAATTTACTATACATTATAAGGACCCCGTTCATTCTCGTGGCATTTGTCTAATCACTACAGCTCGGCGCAAATAATCCCAAATATCTCCGGTGTTTACATATGCGACGGTAGGAAGGTGATAATTTCGTTCGCAGGCAAATACGAGGGTGTACTTTTATTACAGGTGAGGACTGTAGTGTACCGTTTAGTGAATTGTCGATTGTAGCAAAGAAAAAAATGAAAATAAATTGCTTAACGTGTGACTTACCTATATTGCGAAATATGTCGTCTTCGTGCAACCCTCCATCCCGATCTTTCGATTAACCAAAAAAAAAAAAGCAATATATAAGGCATGGCCCTCATTTCACTAGACGTCACACGCTGATGCTTTCGCATGTTGTTTTTATGTATCTTTCTTTAGCACAGAAAAAAAAATATGTGCTGTGAGATGTCATCCAGGAAGACATCGCCGATTCACAGTATCATAGAAGTGACCATATATTAAAATATGGAATGCTTTTTTAACAGAGTTCCCCAATCCCAAAGATTTTTTTTTTTTTTACCCGTCCGCTTGTGCACTTTCCGCTAAATATAGCGGGAAAATTGACGGGAGGCGACCTATGTCAATTCCGTTTCCCCGCTAAAGTTTTCGTCTTTATCTCAACGTCAATCAACTTTTACCGCTAAATTTAGCGGGGAAATTGACGTCCTGGCGTAAACACCGCTTCGGTTTTCCCTCTAGATATAGGGGAGAAATCGACACCTCGTTGCCTAAACCCCCAATTCCCTTTCCCCGTTAAACTTATTGGGGAAATCGACGTCAGGTTACCTCATCTCACGTGACCCCTTCCCACGCCGCCCGTGCACCTAACAACAACTTCTATACTCACGTTGGTTGCAACGCTGTCGGGCGCACTCAAACGTAAATGTCTGAACAAGCCTTTAGATAGGCTAAACTGCGTAGATTAATCAAAACGTAGCTTTAGATGTCTGGGCTTTATGGGTGCTAAAACGGACGACCACTGGTACTTGGTGCTAGCACATTGTTACGTCCTTGGTTTATTATTTACATGGCGTCCATTGCCTTCTTGTAGGTTGTGTTTCTTTCATTTTTCGACGTGGGTGTGTCCTTTTTTCATGCCGACCTCGTGTAAACACAGTCGGAAGCAAATGTTCTGGCCGATGCATATCGTGCAGGTCTGAAGTTCCACAATACATTCGCATTTTTGTTTAACAAATTTACGCCAGAAACAAAGTACACCAGCACCACCCAAATCCAGCACACGGTTGCGTGCTTTGCGCACATTTGGTGGAAGCCACTTGAGAGTAAAGGCCGGTTCACAGAGCCCCGTTTTCTTGCGTTACGTTATGTTACGAAAGCTTATGTCTACTTATGACGAGAGTCACCGAGACATATGTACTTTGTATGAAGCATGACAACTAGTTGAAGGACAAGCTTTGCACGCGACATTCGGAGCACGGATGTCCAAATGATCCATAACTTAGCGGAAGAAAACGCAAAGCAAACTTGCCTGTCCGAGCTAAAGCTTGAACCAGCCTTTAGAACACAAGAAAATCCATGGTTGCAGCAGCGACTGACCCAACGTTCAAGTCCAATGCAGACTTTCTCCCTCTGAACACTTAATGCCCGAAAAGTGGCGCCGTTTTTATCCCGCCGTCAAGGCCCACACGTTGGCGGATTAGTCCAGAAAACGAGAGTTAACTTATGACTTAGGAAGAAAGCCTACCGAGAAGTGTGGCGCCAATAAGCGCCCCCGGCGAATCTCTCCAACCATGATGCTCTGGTTCTTTCGGACGAAAGGGCTATGAATAGCTCACAGGACGTCATCTAGCCTGTAGACTTCTTGAAGGCATGTTTCTGAAACCCAGACTCCCGCATAGGACACTTATGTCACGTGTTTTGTTTCTTCTTTTTTTATAAGGTGTCCATTCAGTTTAGAAAATGCCAGCGTTGACTAAAGTACATCTAAAAAGTACTTGAAGTAAATTACAAAGCAAATGAGAGGCTCTGTACTTCAGGTGAAGTACAAATACTTTTCAACGCAATCTTTCATAATGCCCCTGCACTCCCCTATACAGTTTTTTTTAACTGGTATGATTGCGCGGAAAAGCATCACCTAGGGTGCCTCAATGTCCTTCTGTTTAGGGTGATGCCACCCTTTGTAGTACCAGATGCCAACAGCACGCGCTCACGGGCAAAATACAAAGAAATCGACGAAAACAAAATGTCGCCATAGCACAGTCAGCGCCACAAGCGCGTGCAGGGACACGCTCTTTCACCTGCTTCTCAACAAAAAATAAAAATAAACGTGTGTGACAAAATGGCGAGATGCCACCACCCTAAGCAAAGCGCGCATGAAGGCACCCTAGCATAACCTATCCTTCATATATTTAGGTAGTGTAGCGACGGGCCTGCCGAAAATTAGAATATGATTCGAAGTGATTCAAAATCCGGATGATCTGTAAAAGAATAAACTCAACTGGTAATGTCCTAACATTAGTGTCATAAGTGGGATGCCGGGTCACCAGCCCAAAATGTCTTCGAGAAGTCTACAGCCAAACTTATGTACACGGGCTGTTCTCGACCTTGGTGCCCAAAGGAACCAAGTCATCACGGCTACAGAGGTGCGCTTTTCGTCATCACTTATCAAAAAAATCATCAACGGCAAGTTTTTTTGTACCATACTTCTCGTCAAAGCTGAATGCTGGGCTAGTTGGTATTGGTCTTGGGTTGCCGAAGGCATGGTAGCGCTTTTTTGGACGAGGACAAAAGAAACAAAGACAAGACAGACACGAGCGCTGTGTCTGTCTTGTCTTTGTTTCTTTTGTCCTCGTCCAAAAAATCGCTACCATGCCTTTGGCAACCCAAGACCATACTTCTCGGTAGGCTTCCTCCGACATTCGTAACATCACCTGCTTTCAGGATCAATCCGCTGACGTGAGAGCCATCATTGAGTGATGAGAACGTCACTGTCTTTTGTATATCGGGTTTTCAAAACAAGCGAGTGCGCGCTTGTCTGGAACGTTTGGCAGGTGGCCTGTGTAACTATCGACTGTGCCTTCCACTCGAACTTGCAAACATCCTACTATCTTCGAAAATATCGCCAAGCGTGATTAAGTAGACGGAACGAATTGAATATCATCAAATATCCGCATAACACCCAAGTGCGTATAGAATTTGGGTTGCGCTGGTATACCACATCTCTCTCGCAAATTCTTAAAAAAAGAAAGCAAATTCGTTGGAGATTTATATGTTTACACAATGTATATCGATCGGCCAGGTAATTTTCTTCAGCGTGTACTACATAAGAGCGGCAAAACAAATAGAAACACAGTCCCGCCAACGGAACACAAATTTGACGGTGGACACAATTTACAAGGAGCAAAAGAAGAAGGGGGGGGGGGGGGGGGGGGGGGGGATAGCCTTGCAATTTAGCGAACCGGAGGATGAAGACAGAGATTCTACAACGACATAGACGCCTAAATTAAAGCAATTACTTTCATTTAGATACAATGTTTTCGGTCTTAAAAATCATCACAAAATAGGCTGATCCTACATAAAAATAAAATTTTCTGAGTCTTAAAAAGAGGTGGAAGTTTAATACAACCAAGCTGGTGTATGAATTTATAGTACGTAACAAACATAGGGTATTGGTCCGCTATTCGCGTGTGAGAAACGTTTGTCAACGGCATTGTGAATGATTCTATAATAATAAATCTATAAGAATAACCTGATAATATATCAGAATAACATGAGCAAAAAAAAAGCGCTATTTAAACAATTAAATTTTTGACGGAAAAAAATCTGTAAATTCAAAATACTGTGCCCGGTTATGGTGTTTCTCTTAGTGCTCTATAGATAACAAGTAATAAATGTTAGCGTCCTGTTTTTTCTCCTCCGAAGCTTGGGAAATACACATGCATTAAATTGCCTGCAGAATATCTAATAGCACCTTATTATTACTGTAAACCACACGTTTGTTTGCTAAAACAATAAACCTGATAATTTCATCTATTGCAAACTATCAAAATACAGGATGAGCTGTATCATACTCACACAGACAGAAGCCAGACACACAATTCAAGTTTTTGCGGCACTCGCTGTTGTCTTTGCAACGAAACGCTGGACACAGACATAGAAGAGCAAACCATTAGAAAGAGAAAGAGCTGGAGGTAAAAAAAATTCACAATAAAATGCGCAGTGCTCTAAGAAGCAAACGAGCGTCATGGTAGAATGGCCTTGGTCTACTTCTCTTAAGCGAACATAGGAACCACACGCGTTCACTAAGTGAAGGTTCTGGAAGTTCCCGCTGCACAGATATTAATCGTGTCAACCGTCCTCGCCATGGACATAGCCAAGGGAGGAAGGTAAGAACAAGGACGCCTTCCTAACCACCTCGAATTTTTTCCGTTGCAATTTCTCCCTTTCACGAACACCATCAAAAGATGAATGTGCTTTAGATACTTAATCTGTTTTGGCAAGAGCCCTGATTCAGAAAGCAATATGACTACGATGAAAGACAAGCCACCCCAAATAGATAACCTTTATCGTCCACAATGCCACTTCTTATCAGACGTCTTTTTTCAAAGGACTGGTCGCCTTTCATAAAAGCTCCAAGCCCCGAGTTATTCCATTTTTGAGGAGGCGTAACGCACCAATATTGGGTCTCTCGCGAGAAAGCTGTGTAGTGAAATCACGCTGTCCTTCCCTGGTTCCGGCCCAACATTTTCCCCTCGCTGCTGTAGTCTACGTCAAGTTAGACCACCATATTTTACGTCCATCCATATGATGAAAAAAATAGTATAACTTTAACTTGTGCAATTTGTTGTGCCGGTCATGAAGTGTTTCATGCTAGTCAAATGCGCGTCTTGGGAAAGTTTTTTATGTGTCTATATTAGACAGAGAAATAAATAATATATATATGTAGTAATAACTATATATATATATATATATTAGAACGGGAAAGAAAGAAAACCTGCGCCACTTATCTCAACCAGCGCTCTAGTGTTTTTGTGCTCAGCAACAGACGCTGAGTCAAATTGGGAATGCCGGTTCATGTGAGCGCACAGTTTTAATTTACCCGTCAAAACATTTCTATATGTGAATCCATCTAATATGTCTCGCACCGACTAAATAATTTTTTTTTTGTGTACACACTGCATTGCTTCGTGACAAGAAAGAAATTAAGTTACAAAAAAGCTGATAAACGTAACGTATTTTCTTTTTTAGTTTGAGTGTTGTATGCGTGTGTGCCACTATAGCCTATTGCTGGATTTCACCTTTCTTTAACTGTTGTATTTGTTTAGCCGTTTGACCAATCAAGTTTGATGGTGTTTTTCTTGTTTAAGTGTACTTTTCATTTGTTCTTTGTATATTTTCAAAATGCGTGTACTGTAAAAGTCTCTATTTTCGCAGTCTCAATATTGCGAGAATTCGGCTTAGTGTGAATTTCAGGCTTATAACGCGGGCAAAAACATCGCGATTGGGAGCGGTATGTTATGCCTTAGTTACCATGGGGAAATATAATTCACGGGATATATTTCGTGCTAGTCCAAAATTCGCAAAATTCGCGAAGTTTGAGTCGTCTACAGCAGATCCTCCATCATCGCAGTTCTAGGAAAATCTAATAGTTGCTGAAAGAAAAAAAAAAAAAAAGAAGAACGTAACGATTTTTAGAATTTTTCGTCAATGATGCCCGTGGCCGCGGTTTTCACGTAACGATTTTTAGAATTTTTCGCCCGTGACCGCGGTTTGTCAAGGATTGTGCAAGTATGGGGAGGAATCATTCGGCATCGACTGCTGCGACTTTTTAAAGACGTATTTTCCGGTTTAAAATTCGCACTGTTTCCTAAGTCCCACCACCCTGCATCAATTAGTATGAGCCACACATATTGGTGCAGTTGGTGATAACGTTGTATTTATATCCCCTATTCCTTGGACCATCCTCAGACAGCAAATTTCTCGTTTATCGAAAATGTAGATGCGGCCTACACCTGGCGCAGTTAAGGACCATACTTATATTTAAAAAGAAAAAAAAAAAAAAAAACACGCATATAATTCCTCTTGTTTTCTAAGACCGACAAAAAGTTTTGGGAAAAAAACGGCGACTTATACATAAAAAAATTTGATTTTTTTTATACGGGTTTCCCAATCTTGTACTATGTCAAAAAGCGCAGAAAATTAAAATTGACAAAAAGGAAAAAAAAAAAAAAAAACGAAATGTGCAGTGTATGATTAACAAGTGGTTTTATTGAAGTTGACCGGCTATTTTTTTATCATAAAGGTAGAGACAATTCAATCATCCGATTGTATACATGCTAACGTACGCTAACTAGACAAACGAACACTGTTATTTTTTTTTTAATCAAAGACGAGAGAATATTAGTTCAGTTATTGCAAGGAGTACAGGCAACTACAGAGGAAAGTCGTAATCAGGGTGTAAGATAGACAGGTGGGGAAACGAGAGCCAAATGAGCGATCGCATTGTGTCCCCCTCGGTTTTCTCTTTTTCTGTGGCGCCATCTATGTGGGGCACCGCGAACTCTCACTCCAGGTGGGCGACCGGTGGCGACCTGCTAAACTGACGGAGATGGTTTCCCGTGGATTTTTGGTGAAGGACTGTCGTGCTCTCGGTCTATTCTGCGCACTCTCCCATAAAATTCCACGCAAATTCAATTCCGATTTTTTTCTTCTCGCCGCAGCGCCATCTGTCGCAAGTCGGGGGTACCCGCAAGCAGACGAGTACACAATACGGTCACGGCGCTGCGGTTGGCTTCTATGGGCCGTTTCCCCACCTGTCTATCTTACACCCTGGTCGTAATCATGAAATGATATTAAAACCACAAAATGGTGGCCTCGTTTTGCATGGACAGTATTTACACATTAAGTTATATAAATGTAAAAATAATATTAACTTAGTGAAAGTTAAATAAAATAGGAGCTTCCGCATACTTACCCTTGCAGCTACCAGCATCACAGATCTTAGGGCTCATGCACTGCACGTGCGTTACGCAACTAAAAATCAGCTCTGTACAATAAAGTAGAAGTGCAAAGCATTAGCAAGAAAAACGACTCGAGGTTGAAGGTATAAAAAAAATTACTGTGCTCAACGAATTAAAGCAAAGTCACAGTGGCGCGTGGCATTATCGTGCTTCCGCGCCTTGTGTAAATGAGCACAAAAAGTACGCGCTCTCAATCACAGTACCTCATAAGGAAAGCCGCAAAAGACGGAGGAAAACAAGGGACAAGATATTCAGCGCTAGGAAAAGTGCGGCGGTCAACTGTGAAACTATATTCCTTTATCTGAAACCACCTGAGAATGGGTAGAGAACTAGAGGTATCCGAGGCGGCAGGAAAAACAACCAAGGCAGCGACAGATTCAGCTGACTCGTTTATTCAATAGCAACTTCGTATAAACATTTTCAAGGTCACTATAGCCAATCACACACACACACACACAAAAGACACAAGTTCCGCGAAGCAAACACACGTAAAAACGCCTGCCGTGGTATTTAGTGTATATGTTTGTGTTCTGAACTCGTGGGCGACCGTTGGAAGCGAATGGCGGCGAAGCACTCGTTCGTGACACGTGTCTTGCAAGTTACCCACAACAATGATTCTGGAGTTGTAAGAAACACAATGCGTGGATTTTATCAAAAGACAGTGACACTTTTCCCGGGATTGGGCTGCCGGTTCTGGCGCTGATCTCGCGGGCTTTACCCATGTACACGAAACTATTGCTGAAGATGCAAGTTCCACGCACAAACCCGCCGCTGCGTGGCACTTGCGCGCAACACCAAGACGATAGTAAATAAGTGTTCCTGTTTCGCGTGGGGTTTAGAGATGAACATTCGAGACATTTTCATATGTGAACCACACGCAAACGGTGCAAAGAAGAAAACACGCGGGAATTAATTTATATGCATTATCCCGACGGCCATTGAGCAATACAGAATAACGACTAGATCGACCCAAGTGTGAAAAGACCGACCTCACTAAGCGTTCGGGGCGGGCGTGGCGCCGCCATAACTTTCGTTCCCAGGACGCAGACGGCAGTGCACGAGAGGGCTCGTGCCGCCTCGTGCTCTACAAACGCACACCTCCAGCGAGCTTGTCTCACGTGCAGAAAGACCGAAGTGCCCTCGATGCATTGCGGTAGCGTATACTCAAACATGGCTGGTGAGATCGGTCTAATGGATTCGATTGAATAGGATAGTGTCAGCAGCTTAGTGTGAAACGACGATAGTTAGTTTTGCGCATACATTCTACAAAAAGTTTTGTAATCATAGAGACGTGTCCTTCGTAGTTTTGACAGGTTGGGGTTGGGTTTCCGTTTCCGCATTTACAAAATTTTCGTTCGTTTTCGCGATATCCAAAACAGTCGAGCTTCATTTTGTAAACAATACATGCACACATATCCATCAGATGAAGTGCTTCTTACGATATTCATTAAAGTAGGTATTTATTAATGCGTTAGCATTAGTGCCCCGGTACATGCACTGGCCTTGGACTGGTTTGGAGCACACTTATAAATAAAGTTCGCAACGTAGCCACGGGATGGCGTCACAGCCCCACAGGCTGTTGAAACTAGCAAAGAAAACACCTGCAAGCGCAGGCAGAAGGCAGCGGGGTGCATATTTTGAAAGGCTTGGCGATTGGACGCGTAGCAACGGAGGCCGCACTGGATTGGCTGGTTATAGGGAGCGACGCCGTGACGTAACCACCCTAGCAACCGAAGATCGCCGGCGACGTCCCCCTTCGCCAATTTCGGCGCCGCGCTGAGGGGGCGGCGGGAGTATCTGTGGAGCTTGTGTTTTGTACAACGCTCGTGTTCCGATAAGCGGTCATTTATACAACCTTTAGTTTGCCTGCGTCTTCGCAAAACCTACATTTGTTGGAGCAAAGGGGGTCCTACGGCCCAGCTTATAATCTATGCGAAAGGAAGTGCTAATATTAAACCTGTTGGGCTAATGCCTTGATGTCGTGGAATATTCTGGGAAAATAGGGGAGGACTATCGCTTCGAAGATTTAGTACTGTTTTTAACTATTTTTTTTAGACATCGACAGACGAACTGTCTTGAAATATACTCCCGAGGTTAAGTTGCGATTCTGAATCGCTCTATAAAACGATTAAGAGATTAACTAATTCAATGAGAACTGAACTTTTGAGCTGATACATTGAAAACATTTCGAATTATTGCCACATTTGCATGCTTTAAGTGGCAGTTACTAAACCAGAAAGATGTTTTGCTGCGTATTTTGCATACTCTCAGCAAAGGTCATAATAAGTTGAAAATTTAGGTATAATAAGTACCCGTCTATCGGCCTTTCTAAGGAAAACTAACTCGGGAGCGCTTTCACCCACTCATTTCTCGAGAGATTCGGCCAAAGACACGTTGGTAGAGTAATCCAAAACATCGTCCACGTAGTGGCTAGCGGAATGAGCTGGAATGCACGAGCGGCGACCAAGCAGTACAAGGCTGTCTAGCCGGGCAGTAAGCCAAGGGGCGGAGCGGCAGCGGCCGTCTTCAGATTCGTGGACGCACCCACGCGCTCGATATCACGCTCCTCCTTCGCCGCGCGCATAGCGTACACGCGTACGCAAAGGAATTGCGAGTCGGGAGTGCGCATGCGTAGAACGCAATAGAAAGGATAGCGTATTGCGTACGCACGCAACGCTGGGGCTTTTCCGTGATAGCGGGCTTTGCGGGAAGCTCTCGAAAAATCTCGCGTCCAGCGAGAGCACCAGTTTCAAGATGGCGGTTACCTCGACTGGCGCGGCAAAAAGGACGTGGTGTTCGCGAATTCAGTGTTACGTGATATTGTGTGGTGTTCAGCTCGGCGATTCTTTCTGGGACCACCGCAGTCGAATCAGATCGCCGTGCAGCTGAAGGGGTGCATAGTGAAAATGTTCACCGCTCAGAATGTGCGTGAACGGTGCGATCTACTCAAAGCTAAGCCTATTCGCGCAGTTCACCGCCGACGGACGAACGACTCTTCAAGAAATAGCCCAAATCGTCGCTATGCACTGGATAGATTTGTTCCATGGTACGTCATAGATTGGTTCCCGCGACAGCACTGATAAAAGGTGCCGTTTCCACGGGACGATCGACGGAGGCTCTGTAATCGAATTTGGCTACGTACTCGTACTCATATCCTCCGTGCCTCACAGAAAACCTCGCTTGACCAGACAGCTGCGGCTTCGTTTAATTTGAAATAAAATTATTGAAAACGTTTTCATTTTTAATATTTCTTTTGAGGAGCATGGTTGCGCTATAACACGCGGAATTCTATAGGTCTCTAGCAAACTTAACCAAGATTTTGCGAGGTGTTCACTCGGCAACGTAACGCACAACTGAAATGGGTCCGAGCAGGTCGTTTCAATGCGAAAGCATCAACTGTCCCATGGAGCGCAGCCGGTGGCGTCTGTAACCACGATAAACGGCACCTAAAAACCCGTAACAGCGAAACATGGCACCTAAATTGGCTGCGACGCGTCAGCTTTGTCACGGAAGCCGGCGCGGCCGCTCGAGGTCGAAGCGAACACGCCTCAGAAATAAAACACAAAGAAAAGCACAGCAACGCAGATGCATCGTCACGGAAACCGACGGGGACGCTCAAGGTCAAAGCGGACGCGCTTCAGAAATAAAACACCAAGAAAAGCACAGCTACGCGATGCTTCGTCACGGTAGCCGTCCTGAAGTCGGCAAGGTTCCCCGCGCACGTGCAGTGGGGCAGCGTGATGTCATTGCCGCAGCGCCGTGTGCGATAGAAAGATGTGGCGCGCTGCTTGTAGGAATGCGCTATGCGTGTAGGAATGCGCTGTGCGTGTAAGAATGCTTCCGCATTCCTACACGTAAGCAGTCTTAAGTGACTCTGCCGAATTTTTTAGCGTACGCTATACTATTGCGTATGGCGTACGTAAGAGCCAGCAACACTAAACTCAAACTGTCTATTGTAGCTATTATGCGCGCTGCTGCGAAGGAAGGGGAGGGAGATTTCCCGCGCGGGGTATGCGTCAACGAGTCTGAAGACAGCCGCCGCTACTTGGCTCGCTGCCCGCTCGACTGCGCGGACTGTACTGCTTGGTCTTCGCTCCCGCATTCCAGCTCGTACCGTTAGCCACTGTACCGTTCTTGGAGAGCGTAAAGCGGCGTTTCCAGTGCACAATGTCCTCGACAACGGAGACACTTCAAACGGGCGGATTACACTTGTGGGCGGAGCTTCTACACCGTTCTTGACTCGTCACCGACTATTAGCCCCGAGAGCGAGCACAAGCGTCGCTGCGGTCGCCGCTCCCGGATTGGGTGAGGTGTACCGTGACGTCAGGGGGAGTACTCCGCTCCGCGATCTCGCACCGGCTCGCCTCCCAGCACCGGTTTCCTGGTTTGGCGCTGTGGGCCGCAAGCTCTTCGAGGAGCTGGACTTCGTTTACCTGGCGGTATTGACGTGCTTCCGTACATTTTATAAGCCTGCTTGTCCCTTTTACCTTTAAAATTGGGTTACAAATACCGAAAGCTTTCGGCGGAGGCTATTCGATGAACCTCCCCGTCCGTCGACGCGACACAAGGCAATCTTGCGAAGGGTCGGTGAAGCGATGGCGCAAGCGTTTCAGACGCTGGAATTCTCTTCCTTGCACGTTCATGATTTAAGACGATATTAGATCCCGCTTTCAAGGCATTTGAAAGGGCATTTATATCATGGGCCTTTGGGTGGTCGGCAAAGTAGCTCGCGACCCTGACTCTGCGCTGCCACTCTGCATCCGCTGGTTCGCAGATGTTTTAAAGGCCGTGCGTCTGATGATCTTGAAAGTGCTCGTGGAACAGGGTTGTTTTACATAAATGTAGCTTCTTCGCGAATTAATTATATAGTTTATACACGTATGCAGGCATATTTCTTAGAAGCTGCACAATTACTGGAAATTAGTTTGTATGGTAGCAGCAAAAAAGGCCGAATTGCCCCCAGTTGTCTGTATGATATGTATTGAACTGCCAAACTATGCACGGCAATAGTGCCGTAATATGGAATGTTTATAATTTTTCTTGACATTCTTTATTCCAGCCTATTCCGAAAATACACCGTTTAGTCTGAATTGTCATTTCCAATTAAAAGAGACAGTGCTGCAGGTCCCCAAAAGCTTCCTCAGCCTCCAAACTCCCTACAGCTGGACTCTCTGACATCAGAGGAAAACAGGAGTAAAAGCAAGCATTCGAACGTCTGTCCAGTGGTAGATGCAGCACTAGCAGCAGAAAATGTGTAACATGTGAAGGGCGACAGTCTGCGCGAGAAAAGCTTCTGGTATTTTAGCTTCAGGACAATTCGATTTAAGTAAAATCTCAATTTTAGGGCTTAAGGGGCTAATAACGAGCTAGACACCTTCGCTTACGGTTGTTATACATTACTTGAGGGTTGATATAAACAAGTCCACAAATACCACCCGTGTAGTCCATTGAAATACTTTCCGAATCCAGCAAAGGTCAAATGCAAGCAATGTATATAATAAATGTTCCTTTTTTGTATTTTTACTTTTCCCCTGCACTTGGGCTGTCTTACTTGTGATTCTTTCTTGATGGCCCAAACTGTATTTAACATGTTGCTCGAGCAGCATGCAGCTTTTCTGCTTCGCCGATCTTGTTTAAAAACAGAGATACAAAAAAAAATAATATACATAACCTGCCAATTCGTTCAGACCATCAGCAGCATTTACTGTGCGAGATGTAAATCTATAGTGATGCTCCTGCAATTGTGGCCATATTTTTTTTTATTTTCATTACCAGCTGCGATTCATGCGTTGCCTGCTCTGTCAACCATGCTTAAAATGTTGGTTGAAGTTTCGCCTGTAGCTACAGACCATACCTCAATAAAGGTTGATATAAAAATTTACACTTCCTACGAAAATACACGCGAAAAAAAATTAAATAGAAACGAGCGCGCCGTCAGCTAGCGTCGTCACAGCCTCCGCAGGGCGAACGGGCCGAGTCGGGGAAAAATTCTCTCCTCGCCGTGACATCACCCCGGTTTGCCGTAAGGGGGCGCCACGCGAACTTCTCGGGGCGTGCCATCTTGTTTCGAATGTCACCCACGTCACGCCTTGCCTGTCGCGCTGCGAGTGGTTGTCGCTTCGCGGTTTCACGAAAGTGGTTGGGAGGAATCGGTCCCAAAGCCCGCTGGCAAAAACGCGTCCCAACCACACGATCCCATCCACTTTTGTTGTTGAAAATGCGCGGATTCGCTTCCACGGTCACCGGGCCATAAGTCCGGCTCCCTTGTTTCTTCTAACACCCCCCCCCCCCCCCCCCCCCCCCCCCCCCCCCCCCCCCCCCCCAAAGCGCCAGCGGCAGAAAGTCGAGAGCTCGAACAGGGAGAGCGAGTCATCACGTCTCCGCTTCACCATACTTAACGTCTAGGGACACCAGTGAGGAATATTATATAGATTAGAGCTCGAATGACACTTACCACGAAAAGGATAACCTTGAACGGCCTCCCCTGAAGACGCTAAAATACAAACTCAGAAGATCAGGACAGTAAAGTGTGTAAAACCTTTCGAAAGAAAAGAATAAAAAAAAAAATCTATATATCTAAAGAGACCGGGTTCCCAGTCTGAAAACGATCAACGACATGATTACACACGATTCAAGTAAAGTACCGGGTGTTTGTGAAGAGATAAATACTGCGTGACTCCCACCGCAAAAAAAAAAAAAAGGAAACAAAGAAGCTATACCCATTGTCGGTCGGCATGTCTACACTCGCCAACGAAATATAGCAGTAGCGATTAAAACCAAATACCAAAGCTTGAGTATTTGCCGTCGTTTGATTCAAAGGGTATACGAGGTTTACGAACATTTTCAATAAGAAAATGTTGACCAACGAACCCTACTAATAGAAGGTTAAAAGGCGAGAACAAAACGGGACGAAAAAAGACACACGTACGACACGGACAGGCCCCAACTTCCAACTGATTTAACGCAATAATTCGGGTGGGCATCTTGCGGAGCACAGCAAACGATGCGGGTGCCAACCTTTGTTACAGCGCACAAGGTTTATCAAGAAAGGGAATCAGAAGGTGGAAAGAGAATGAATCGAAGCTTATACACAGAGCGGCTGACAGATGCGTAAGCGTGCCATCCTTTATCTACTGACAAAGAAATTGTGTTTCTTGAGGGCCGTGTGTAATGAGCGAAAGAAACTTTTATCAGTTGCACGTGTTTAGGCGATTGGGATCAACAGTTTGATGATGATTCGTGGTTCATTAAATCAGTTGGAAGTTGGCGCCTGTGTCGTACGTGTGTCTTTTTTCGTCCTGTTTTGTTCGTGCATTTAACCTTTTAATCGAAATGAACCAACTAGCCCCAACCAAAGTTTTATTGCCTACTGATAGATTGAGATAAATTGTGTATGCTACCGAGAATGATTTTCATTTTCACACCTCTATCTTTGACATGGATGGAAAATGTGCTCGCGGACTTTCAGTACTTAGACGCCCGCAGTAAACTTATTGTCATATTCGTGCTCTTAGCGTTTAGCTTTCATTTGAATACACGACAACTTTGGGTCCACACCTCATGAAATCAGAAGATTTCAAACACCACCACGCCGCAGTACTGGCGGTTTTTAATATACAATGAGAAAAAAGCACGCCGGCCTTGCCCAGTCGCACAATTCACTAAGATCAACAGGCATATAAAATATATATCTTCGTGCGGCAGAATTTGCTGTCCTGACAATTTGTACAGCAGCGTTGTAAATAAATACTTTATTTTTAAATGTATTGCCTGACCGCTCAAGCCCGAACTCATAGTTTTATATTTGGCGATTTCTCCTGTTGAGAAAGAGTTCGAGCAGCCGAGGTGATCACTCCTTGGGCAAAGAGCTTGCGCTCGTAGCTTAGTAGTGGTATTGTCGTTCCGGTCGATTTACATGAGAAAAGAATGAGAAGCCAATATTTAGACGAAGCAATACTTCATCCAAAAGAAAAACAGAATCGTGCTTAGTGCGTGAACATGTTATATATGAGCAGAGTCTTCTCTTACTTATTCTGGATAAATGTCTTAGAAATGTCTGAGAAGCTTCGATAACGATACCCGATAAAAATTATTACGCAAAGGCAAAAACTAAGTATCGGATGTCGTTATCGTATAACAAAAGGAATTTGCTCAAACGCACTACCCCTACTAACTCAAAAGTGCAGATTACGTGCTTGGTATTTCGATGTGGTAAAGTTACTCCACATTACGCTTCGTGAGATGCAATATGTGCAAAATAAAAGATAATAAAAAAGAAACTTACAGCTTGACAGAATGCACAGTAGTAGGAGAACAATGGCCAGATTTCCCATGACTGAAAAAAAAAAGTACACTGTTCAACCCCTGAATTCCGCAAAAAATCGCGATAATTGGGACGGTCGCCTTCTAAAATTTCGTACGTAGTATGTTGTATCAGTAAGCGCATAGTCACGTAGTGTTTATTTGAGATCACGAGTAAAATACTGACCGTTTATTTATGCTTAAAAAAGTGTCTCCAGCAAATTTTACGATATTACAAACTGCGTAGCTTTGTTCTTTCGCTTATGAATTACCAACGCACTAGCACATATACAGGGTATTTTTGGAAACGCGGGCCAAATCACTCATGCAAAAACTACGCATCTCACAGAAAAAAAGTTGATGCCGTATTGAGGTAGAAATGCAGGAGAGTTGGAGCACGAATGAATAACTTAAAAGCAGCGCACAAAAAGGCAGGGGCAGAGAAAGAAGCCCACAATAATTAAGGTATCTTCGAAGATACTGGCACGGGGCATGCAAAACTGGAAAGAGAGGTGCTGGAGCCGCACACCTCCTAGATAGGAAGGCCTCAGCGCGCTTTCCGCATGGTCGAAAGAGAAGGCCGACATAATAATGATCGCAGCACGTCATAAAATACCCGCCGAAATAGAAAAGGTGGAGCGGCAGGCAACGGATGAGAGGAGAGCCACGTGACTGGCGCCCCGCTGCGGCGAGACGCCGAAACACACTTCTCCCGAGCGAACAAGTGTGTTTCGGGTCCTCGCCGCTGCAAAAGCTGGGCGCTGACGTTCAGTTTCCCCGAGAAATGGCTCTTTGATGCTCTGTGCTACGAGATCCTCGCGCTCCAAATCTGCGACCAAACACTTTAATGCTCCGTCGTCGAACTGCGACGCTTTCTGAGTACAGAGGAGGCTATGACAGAGATTAATGGTTGTGAGACGCTTCGAGACGCGGTTGCGGCGACGCTGGCACAAGCCAGGCGGCGCTGACTGGATCCACGAGAGACGACGTTTGAGAAGGGAAAGGCGCCCGCTTGCCTTCTAGGTGCTGTTGCTTCAACACGCGATCTTGGCCTTCCGTCGGGCCATGCTCACAAGACCCCCCAAAGCAACACCGAAGGTAAAAAGCTCGCGTTTTGGGCGAAGGTTTTGGCGCATTCTTAAGTTGGCTTTCACTCTACTAGTATTCACTTAGATACTCTCTGAATAAAGGACCTTTCCGGGAGAGATTTCGCAGAAGACATGCAGCTCGGGTAGGGAGATATTTCATAAGTTGCTTCGGCCTTTCTCTTGCTTAAACTGACAAAAAAAAAAAAAAAAAAACTATTTATGGATTCCTTTTTTTACACTCAGCCAACTTCCATGAACATCAGTACACGCTTAAAAAGATCGAGTGACTAAAAAGGTTTGAGATTAATAAAATTAATACACTTAATATTTTTACCGCAACTAAAAGATTTGAAACATGTTAGCGTATACGCGTTATTTTCGAACAAAACAATATATTCTTTGTCATAGCAATCCATTCATTTGTCCTTTGCCTATGCTCCTTACCTTAACAAAGTCAAGTTAACAGCATTAACAAGTTCGTCATAAACTTTGAGGAGGGAAAACATGCCTGTGTGATAAGCTTAAGTTACAAATTTAGTAATGACTTTTAGATTCACAATATCGTCCATGCATAGGTTGAAACATAGGAGCCCTACGACTCTTCCCCACGGAAAGCGTGGAACGATACGCTTCTTACCTCATCAGTGCCCACTAATCTTAACATAGTACAAGCGGTGACTCAAATATAGAGTACGGAGTACTACAATTAGTTTACGAAAACCATCGTAATAAAGTTTACAAAGCATAATATTATGGATGATCAAAAGCTTTCATAGAATCAACGAGAACGCCAACTACGTACTACCCCTATGTCCGCGAAGTTTTGAAATATGTGGTCTTCTTCAACAAACAATACTAACTACATTTAACAGAATTTTCCAGAAAAAAAAATGAAAATGTTGAAGTCAACCATTCTTATTTCAAAGTGTACGGGTTCGTAATTATTCGAAGCTTTTCAATAACAAAGGATATGCGAAAAATCACTAAAACTATACCTATCTTATTCCTTATTTAAAACGGGTAATTTCGCTACCTGGATTACCTTGGGAGGCACCCGATGTACAACAGACAAAGATTGGAAATGTAGGTTCCGTTCTGAAAAATCTTATATGTATAAGGAAATATTTTGCCCAATAAACGTATATGCTCAATTAAGATCATATAAGAGCGTACAATGTAACCTTATAAACCATATAAAAACGACATAAGATTACATAAGAATGTATAAGAAACTTCTTATCAGTCTCTTATAACTTCTTATTTTAATATATTGTTATATGGTTTATAAGGTTATATTGTACGCTCTTATATGATCTTATTTGACCATATGTGTTTATTAGACACGGAAATTTCTTATACATACAATTTTTACTATAGGTTACGTGGGGTGAAAGTATATCAACAACGTGTTTCACTCGGCGTATTTGTATGTCATTACAGAGGCAATTCAAGCTGTTTGTTATTTGAGTACAATACTTCAGCTCCTGTAACACGTTTAGGAAATGCCTAACTTCTATTCCTGCTGCCCATGTACTTGCACGCCTCAGTGTCACAGTGTGTAGTAATTTAATTTAAAAAAAGTCACTGAAGGCGTTCACTAAAGAGAGTTTACTAAAACGTACACCGTCTCGTTGGGTGTTATTAGGAGGCCGACGGCCTGAACTGTAATTCAAATCTGAGTTGAGCTTTTTCCTCAAAGCAAGTCCGTACGAAACTTTCAGCCCCTAAAAACCCTGAAAGGGTATTCGACTTTAGCTTTCTGTGGCAGTCCTGTTAACTGGAAGCGATGTGCCTTACATGAGAGTAAAACGCAGGCACAAACCCTTACCTCCGTTCGAAACTGCGGCCAGGCAAGCAAAGTTCCTCAACGGCGACTTGGTGTTCCCAAGCAATAATCCTATTTAAATAGAACATTCCGGCAACAACCTCGATGGCTCTAGCCAATCAGGTTACTCAGAAAAAATTCATTAGACAGCTGTGCGAAAGCATGGCGCAAGTCTTCAACACGCTTGCGACGTCGAAGCGGCTGTTCTATAGCCGCGAGAGAAAATAAATAGACAACTGGCAGTGCGTTATATCTCTATGCTCGCAAGTGAAGCGTGCAATGTACAACCCTTGATAATGAAGAGTTTTAGTATTGCGTAAAGAAAGAAACGCAAGCGCTGGGCGCTTTGTTAAGTGCCCCGTCTCCACAATCCACATGCGTGTCGTCGCCATGCGTCAATCCAAGACGCACTTTGGGTTCCACGCAACCCAGGTAGCACAAGAGGTCGGTCCCACGTGGGCAAGAGGGGTTCGGCCAGCCCCTACGAAACCCACGTTGGCCCCACTTGGGCACAGCGCGGGCATGCCCAATATGGATGCCCACGCTGTGCCGCGGTGGGTGCCACCTCGGATATGCGAGGGCAGAGTTAGATATCCTTAACGATAATCTTAATTATATCCTTTATATCCCACTTGGGTATCAACATGAGCTTGAAACTTTGCAAAATACTGCCATCGGGAGGCTCATGTTACATTCGGTTTTACGTGCACTCTCAGAAATAGGGGGTGTAGGGGGTACACCCCTTGTCCCATATGTAACACCCCAAAGCTACATTTCGACGTTCAGTTCACTGACGTCGAGCTGGCTATACCAACTCTTACGAGCGGCTTGATAGCTGTTGGATACAACGCACTAAATAGCTAATGTCTGTCTCAAAGACTACAAAAAAAAAAAACAAAAAAACACAAAGGTTTCGCAGCAGGGTCAAGAAAAAACAACCTTGATTGTCTTACTGTAGCCTTAAATTCGTACATTAGCTATTTTAATAAGTTGTATCGCTCGATTATCAAGCCGGTCGTGGAAGCTGGTATCGTCAGTTTGACGTCGGTGGACTGAACGTCGAATTGTGGGGTGTTACATATGAGACAAGGGGTGTACCCCCCTTAACCCCCCCTTTCTGAGAGAGCGCACGTAAATCTGGGCCCTCACTTTACAGCCCTATGCTTCATCAGTCATGGGCTATAAAATTTTCTTAGTTACAATACCCGGGAGACTGCTCCATAATGGAAAACTCCCCAACTTGGACGGATAATGCCGTCTCCTTGGCTTATATCTTGCGAATACTTCATTTCGGCAAGAAATTAAACTGTTCCTACTATAACTTGCTTGCACGTGTTGTCGTCGCATTATGTTGGTGGTCGTTGCCAGGTTTTCTTGTCAAGAAGAACAAATTTGGTGGTCGGAAATGAATGCTGCAGAACGTACGCGATCTGTGGCTGCGATGTCATAAGCCTACGACCAAAAGTTTTCGCTAAATTTTTTCGGGAAAGTTTTTCGCCAAACTTGGCGGAAAACTTTCTCGTTCAATTTTTGGGAAAATGTTCCGTTAATTTTAACAGAACATTTTCCCGCAAAATTTAGCGGGTCGATAGGGTTATGACGTCGTCACACGTGGCTGCGCGTTGCATTTGGGGATTGTTTGGTCCTACCGACGCTGGATTTTCTCCAACATGAGCTCCTAAACGCAGTTGCGTTAAAAGTTATATTATTTTCCTAAAATTTCAAAGGGGAAATGCAGTTTGTTCTCGGTAACTGGCGCCACTCAGCTTCATGTACTCGATGGCTTCGTCGGCCCCTTTTTCTCCGTTAAACGTTTCAAAATACCGCATAACTTTTGAATGAGGAACGGTTAGTTCTGGAATTTCGAGATCTAGGTCGGACCGCTAGCGCTACATTTCGGCGTAAGGATGAGCGTTTGGTGATGAGTACAGTTCACATTTGCTGTAAAGCATACCCTGCATTTATTTTTCTTTTTTTCTAAGGAAAAGGGGGGTGGAGAACACCTTGTATAGATACTGCGCCGAAGAACCTTTACAACTCAGGATGTTTCTGAAACTACGCTCCCCCCCCCCTTTCTTATTGTGGCCGTCTTCTGTTTATTGGGCAATCATTTTACTGT